TACAATTGTTGTAGCACTAGGTTGGTTAACAAGTTGAATTTAATTACTATGTCACATCCTCAACCTTATCACTTACAATGGCTCAATAAAGATGGAGACATAGTAGTTAGTCAACAAGTGAAGGTCAAGTTTTCCATTGGGAAGTATGAAGACCAAGTTTTATGTGATATAGTACCAATGGAAGCTTGTCATTTTTTGGTAGGGAGAACATGACAATTTGAAAAGAAAACTATACACAATGGTCTTACTAATGAAATCACCTTCACTCATAAGGAAAAGAAATTTGTACTTTATCCTCTCTCACCTCAACAAGTGGCTGAGGATCAAGCACAAATGAAATTCAAAAGAAAAGAAGAGAAAGAGAAAAAGAAATCAATTTGTTTAGGGAAGAGTAAAGAGGAAGTTGTATCCTCTAAGGGAGTTATGACTAAAGAGGATTGTTTTATCACTAAAAATCCTATGAAAAATATTCTCTTTATTCATTAAGACCTTAACTTTTACCCTCATGCTGCCACTAGTCTTGATGAGGAGATTCATAAATCCATTATCCCTAAAGAAAAGGAATTTCAATTTCAAGAATTAGTGAAGAAGAAGTGGACTTCACTTAGTCTACTTCTTGTGCTACTTTTTTGGTGGTGCCCAAGGTAGATAGTCTTCCTTTGTGTAGGACTCTTCCTACTTTAGTTGTTTCAATAAAGCACCCAATTTATGGCATATATTATTTTTTGGATTTAACATATGAACCTCCAAGGTTCCTTGTGACAAATTCTTTTCATAAATATCCAACAAATAATATAATCCAAAATTGTTTAAGAAATTTTTTAGTAGTATTTTCTTTGTTTTCTAGGAAATGCCTAGGTTACCACATAGGGTATTTTAGGCAAGATGTTCTAGTTGTTAGAATTAAGTCTTTAGGATGTTTTAGTCTTAGTTTTAACACTTTCTTAGGGTTTAGTAATATACATAGACTTTGTTTAGGAGAAGATCTTATTAAGTATTTTAGAAGGTCTAGTATCATTAATTTCTTTAGGTTCTATGAAAGGATTCCTCTTAGGATATACCTTTCACATTTATTGATTGAGAATATCACCTCTAATGAATGGTATTATATATTTGTAGGTGTGGAAAACTATCATGAAGACCCTCAAGATTTGAGGTCAAATCTTTTTCAAGAGGGAGGGGATGATAGAAACATGTCAAGGCCAAGGAATCCAAGAGGTGATACTTTAAAGGAACCAAGGGGAATGTGATGATTTTGAAGACCTTTTCTTATATTGTATATAAACTTGTACATATTTCCCTTGTATAGGCTTATTTTTGCCTTTGTATTTGTGAGGCACTTTATTTCCTTTTATTAGTCATTGTATATTATTTTTAGGGTGGGTTACTTGAAGACTTTAACTCCATTTAACCTCAGCTTTTGATACACTCATTTTCTATTTTTTCAATAGTAGAAGTGGGGTGGTATTTAGCAATGCTTGAGGGTGTGACTAATAATTGGGCCAGAATTGGGCCTAGGCAAAATTTTACATATTGGACTCATTTTGTTCCTAATTTTTCATAGATTTGATTGAGCTAGGTCTCATCATTTTTGGATGAACCTAACTAAACCAAATCAAACATTTTTGAAAATAATTCATGGAGTCAAAATGACCAAGGTCGCCTAGCTCCCATCCATGGTCGGGATTGCTTTTACACTTGGAAGCTTTGAGAAACTTGTGCTACAAGCTTCTCCTTAGCTTGCTTCCCAAGCAAGCTAAGTGAGAAGCTTGCTCCACAAGCCTCTTAACTAGCTTGGATGGTCAAGCCAACCAAACCATGGTTCACTTGAACCATGGTTAAGGTTAGCTTGCTCCATAAGCTACCTACTTTTATAAATTTGTAAACCTTTCATTTTCCCTCACTTTGGATGAATGAAATCAGAATTTCTAAAAGAATTCTCTCTTCTCAAAGTCTCAAAACCGTGGAGAACAAGTTCTCCCTAGTTCCTTCACAAAGGTTTCCACCTTTGTGCCTTGGAGCCTCCATCTTCTACTTCTTCAAGGAGTAACCGAGCACTCCTTAGTGCTTCTTCACCATTGGAGCTTCTTCAAAGGTGTTTCTTCATCATTGGAGTGTCTAACCTCAAGAGAAGAAAGGGACTTAGCATGGTTCAACTTGAAGAACATCAATCTTCTCCAAGTGGTTCCATCATTCTTTAAGCTTGTTCTATCAAGTTATAAAATAATTAATTTTATTTGTTATTACAGTTTTTAAAATTATAAAATATTTAAATTTAATATAAGTTAAATCTTTTTAAAAAATTTATATACAAATTTCTCATACAATTTTATAAATATTTTAAAATTTTAAATAATAAAACTATAACCTACTTAGATACTCCTAATTTCTTATTATTTTTTTAGTACTAAAATAATTAATTATGTTTATTTCAATATAAAAAATTTAATTTATAAACAAATGTATTTTAAATATACATTAAAATGTGAATAAAAAAATAGCTCAAACTAATGTGTATACTCATCCGAGTATAAAAGAAAAGTAGGGTTCCCATTCCCCTACTTTTCTTTTAAGTATAAAAAAATGTAGTTACATTGTTACACTCGGATGAGTATACACATCGGTTTGAGCTATTTAAGATCCGATCCACAAAGTTTGGTTTGGGCTGTTTAAGGGCCGATCTACAAAGTTTGCATTTTTAATGAGACAGTAAAATTTGGTCAGTGTTATAAACAATCCAAATTTTCAAGTCCATATCCTACCTGCAAAACCTATAGATAAGCAAATCCGTCTATAGATCTGGTTAAATCTAGATTTTTTTTAATGAATATTGACATATTCGGTGACATTTTAATTTTTTTTCTCCCTTTTTTTAATCTATTAAAACACTGGTGTCAAAAAAGAAAACCTATGAAAACATAAGGCAAAATATAACATATATAATGATATAAAATACATTTGTAACAATAACATCAAATATTGTAAATAATAAATCAAAGACTTAAATAGTAAAATTTACACATTCTAATAAAAAAAACATCAAAGTCTCGATGTCTTTAAATTTTAAGTCCAAATACACCAATCATTAACCAAACATCAAAGTCTTATAATCTTAAAACTTTAAAAGCAATAATACACAATCAAATATCAAAGTCTTAATTAGTATATTAAAAATAAACATAAAATATTTGTAAGTCCAAATACATTTATCAAATATAATCAAGCATCTCCAATAAAAACATTTAACTTCATATTTGATCATTTTGATGTAAGTCGAGCATTGTTCTCCATCTCCTCATTTTCCTCCCTTTTTTTTTCCTACAAATTATCACAACATTATGAGTGGGTAGTCTGGGCTTTTCACAAATTAAACCCAGAAAGCATGCGAACTTTATGAGTCAGGCCTAAAATGTTCCAATGATTGTGTAGATTAAAAAAAATTGGATCGATTATCTATGAAGTCAACAAACTTACAAACCATTTTGCGGACTTGAGTCCATATACCCACCTCTATTGTTAGACATAAGAAAATTTATCAACAACAATTACAAAGACTTTCTTTCTATTTGCATCTTCTTTTAAAACTCTGATGGTGTGCTTGGATGAGACATTTTAAAAATTCAAAGAATTTTAAATTTCTAGAATTTGAATTACTTTTATTTCAATTTTCATCATTCTTTAAATGTTTTATTTAGATAAGTTAATTAAAATTTTAAAAATTTAAAATTATGATAATTTGATTTTCACTATCGGTAAAATTGATTATATATATATATAGAGAGAGAGATTTTAAGATTAAAATATATAT